GTCACGTAGTGGAATACTATGAAATTATAAAGAAAATGAAAAGGCTGCTATGTGAAAAACACAGAGCTTAAAAAAATAAACATAGTATGCTATTCTTCATGTAAAAAAGAAGGGAATAATGAAATCATGTGTATTTCCTCATCTGTGCAAAGAAAGGAAGAAAGAAAAGAAAAATGCAGGAGGGATAAACCGAAAGCGAAAGAGCTGGGTCACCCACAGGGCGTGAGTGGGAGGAGTGGAAGACGCTGGAAATAGGGTAGCACTGCCGGGGAGCAGGGCAGCTCTGTGAGTCTGCCTTGTACAGCTCTGACTCACGGAGCTGTGGTCATGCCCCCCCCCCCACCCCGTAAACAGGGTTGAAGCCACCTGGAATGGGGCGGAGGGGCACCCCAAGTGGATGCTGGCACTAGCATGTGAACCTGACAGCATTAGAAATGAAGAAAATAGCTACATAGAAGGTTGGTGGTGGGGAGAACACGTCTAAGTAAGTGTGGAAAACGGTATGTTTACTGGATTCTGCAAGGCTGGAGATCAGAGGACTAGAAGAATGCTGTGGTTTAACGAGGACACGTGTTTCTCAGAGGGGAGCGAGTCAGCAACAAGCCTGCACGCACTAGAATTGAACAGGTAGGCCCTGCAGGTCGTTGGCTGGGAGAGCATTGTCCCGTGCCACCAAGGTTGAGGGTTCACTCTGTGGTCAGGGCGCATGAGGGTGAGAATCCACCCGTGAATGCAGAAATAAGTAGAACAAGGGATATGTTTCTCTCTCTCAAATCAAAACAATTGAACAAGTGAGTGACTACATTGTAGATCATGAGAACTGGTTTCTCACTGTCATAGAAATTATGAAGGGGGAAGATTAAAAAGAACCTTTTGTTTTGGAGTCAGACATATGAGTTATAAGCTCATGGTTTTCAGTAAATAGACTGGCAGTTAAATAGGTTAAAAAGATGCAGAAATATGGATGTGTGGTATGGCCGCTTCCTAGGTCTGCCTGCTGAGGCACGGAAGCAGTGACCTCGGTGACCGGGGCGCCCAGTGCCAGACCCGGTCTGTCGCATGTTCTCCCCTCCAAGGGCCGGCATGCCGGATGGAAGCGGTCCCCGCGGGGCTGGGTGGGGGACGAATGAACCTGTAAACGTCTGGTGTCATGAGACCTGTTGGAGGTGCACCTGCAGGCCCAAACTGGAACAGTGTCAGCAATGAATAAATGATGACAGAGCTGATTGTAACTCCCAGAATATGATATTCTCGGGTCCTTGCCAATATAAACAAACATTTAACTGCCTGGCTGACTAAATAAATAAGAAGGTTCCATTCCTCAGAATGGAGGTTCAGTGAATAAATGTGAGAGGAAAGAGAAAAACAGTCACCATTAGGCAAACACCGCAGTAATAAACATTGTGAGCCAGGGTCCACCGACAGACCCTAAGATTAGCAGGACAGACAGTGTCGGCTCACAGGGAGAAACTGCAGGCAAGGGACGGGACGGGCGGACCTGACCCGAGTGAGTGGCCGAGTCCGTCCAGTTTTAATTTGGGGATTTCCTTAAAATAAGGAAATTTAAGTTTAATTTTTTTTTTTTATGAATATTTGACGTTGCCACATCTTGGAAACCATATTTCCAAGGAGCTAAATGGCTTTTAAATAAAATTAATAACATTTTATGGTTGTTAATACAATAGAAGGTTAAGGAATGTTCTGAAAATAAGGTGGTATGCAAATGCTTTGCAAGAGCTTCAGGAGACAGATGCTACAGGTACTGCTGGTTTTAGAGCTGATCTAGACTCAAGTCAGGCTGATCTAGTTCAATAATGTCATAAACGTCCCGGGCCCCGATTCCGGTGGAGATCATCCAGTGGAACCCCCGGGGAGCTTCAGGTTCTTGTAGACGATGTGAACCTTTGTAGAACTTGGACTGATTGCAACTAGGTAACCTTGAGAAGTTACTTCAAAGTCTTGGTTTTATCTTATATAGGAATTTATCTTGCCTTTTTTCACAGGTTAATAGCCAAATAAAGTAAGGTCTTTTTGTTTGATTTAGGGAAATGGTTATCAGTTGTTACTTTGAGAATATTGCAATTGTTTTTATTCTGAAAGAATAAACCAATTTGGTTAGCTTTTTGTTTTTTTTTCAAGTAATAACAAATCTTGAGAGCACTCTTACTTCTGATCAATATATTACACGTTTGGAAAAGACTTCTGTTCTCATGATAATGAGGTGTTACATATTATATAAACCTAGCCCTGATAATGTGAGAGGTTATCAATTTATCATAAAGATTATTAAGTACATAAATCAAGGGTTCACACAATGATTCATGAACTATACTATTTTATTTGGAATCTAAATAATTAGATGTTTCTGTATAAATTTTTATGAAGCAAAGATAAGAGATCTTTCTCCCCCCCCCCCAAAAAAGCTCCATATTGTAGCAAAGAATAAAGCAGAGAAGTTATGTACAAGTTCACAGAACTCCCTATTGACAGTGTCAGAATCGGAACCAGCTGTCCTGGTTCCAGACGTGCTGGAAATTCGGAAGAGGGGCTGGGAGATGGGGTGGGCGCACTGGAGCTGTGGGGGAGGTGCTGGAGTTGGTTTCGCTGTGATCTAGTTGATCTCCTTATCTCCACTCTTCCTCTCTCTCACTCATCTTTCAAACTCTCCACATTCTTTCTCTTATGCTCATTATCTGGGTTAGGGATATCACCATTATTTATAAAATTCATTTAGGAATTGAACAATCTGAATTAGAATAGATTTTATATATCAGATTTTAAAAACCTTAAAACTTTTTCTGATCCATCCACCAGAAATCTTGATGTCATCTTTAGTCTTTTCCTTACCCTCCCCCTCTAATTGTCTCCTGGATTCTACCTCCGAACAGTTTCACAGATCTGTCACCTTCCCTCTTCCTGCAGCACTTCCTGATGGGCAGCCGCCAGCACCCTTAAGGTGGCCCCTACTCTGTCTCTGTGGAGTGTCCATAAAGTTGGAGGGAAGACGCCTCATGTTTATTCTCACTGACTGCTGACTGAAGTCAGTGTTTCCTGTCTTTGTGAACAAGGCAGCCGTCCACAGTAGCAGTAGCGCTGTCCTTGGCCCCGTGGAAGCACATCGGTCCTCACGTCGCACTGCTTGTGGGGGTGACCTGGGCACCATCTGTGCCTGTGACACGTGGAACACTTCCAGCATCAGTAGTGTTACGTATTCTGCTATATCTTGTTACGTAATGTGTTGATGAGGCACATAAATTATCTCACAGTTTAAAAATATTTTGATGCTATATGTCCATATAACTGGTTTTGTAATCCTATTTCATTTCATGCACTTAAAATATTATTATATAATAAAAATATTCTAAAATTATATAATGGTAATAATTGCACAACTTTGTGAAACACTAAAAAACACTGAATTGTATACTTTAAAAGGGTGAATTTTATGTATATGAATTATAGCTCAAAGCTGTTATAAAAAATACTATTCTGATAATGGGTCTTCACTTTATCAGACTACATATCTGCAGTACCTAAACCCCTTCTTTTTCCTGGAAATATATCCCCCACCCCCAGTTACTACCTAGAAAACTATACATTTTTCTAAGAGCCAGATCAAACATTCCCTCAATAAAACCCCTTCCAAGTTCCCTGGGCCGTTATTGCTGAGTGTCCTTAGGAATGCTTACATACATCTCTTATACTTTAATCCCAGTGTTTGTGAATACCTAGGTTGACAGTCCCTTCAGTGTTGGGATCATGACATGATACGTCTTTGTACCCCTATCACCTGGTATAATGCCTGTCAGTGGATGGTCCGCTGATGAGTGAGTGGGTAATGAGGCTTTGGTGTGGCATCAGAAATACATTAGGATGAGCATGTTCCTGAGGGAAGGAAAGAAGAATCATTTGTTCTTTCCTACTGAAATTAGTTAATAGTCTCTGCTTTCCAAAAAGTACTTGTGTTTTTTTGCTAAGATCTTATTTTGTTCAACAAATCAATCATATATTCAAACATATCTCTTTCCTTCAGGGAAATTAAAATTTAATCAGCAAATGAAAATTAAAATTTAATCAGCAAATTTTAAAAATTAAAAAAATTTAATTAGCTAAACTCATCAATCTGTACATTTAAAATATATGCATTTTATTGTATGTAAAGTATATCTCAGTAGCCAGGCAGCTCAGTTGGTTAGAACATCATCCCGATAGGCTGAGATTATGGGTTTGATTCCTGGTCAGGGGTTTGATTCCTGGTCAGGGCATGAAAAAAAATGGGTTGTAAGTATATCTCAATAAAAAACTAGAAAAAAAATTGAGACAGGAAAGAAAAACATCTAGCTGGCATAATGACTGATGAATTAAATAACTGATGTGGTGATCAAGAGAAATATTACAATGCAGCACATATTCCAATGCCAAGTGAGAGTTAGAGATAAAAGGAGGAATCCCTGGGAGGCCAGAGTGGCGGTGGTTATTCTTCTATGGTGTTTGAGTGGGTAGAGAGGCGGGTGGCAGCCTGGCCAGTGACGACGGTGAGGACGGAGACTGACAGGTGGGAAACAGTAAATAAGCCATGTTCCGGGAGTCGGGTGACAGATTTCAGATGTGACCTGCGAGTCTTGAGGAAGAGTGGCAGTGGGTGGGCCAGCTGGGGAAGATGCGATGTGATGAGAGATGAGAGAACCAATCAGATTTAACAGTGACGGAGGAGTCAAAGATAATTGAAATGTTTGTCTTGGCTCATTGGGGAAGAACAATGCTTAATAACAGAACAGAGAAGTGAGGGGACGGGGCAGGCGTTGGTAGGAGGTAGGACGCCTACTTCTGTTGATTGAAAATAGCAAGCTTATCTTTGCATCTAAACTGAGTCAAGAATAAACGACGTTTTGTAGAAATAAAATCATGTTTTACACTTAATCATACTTCATAACATAAAATACAGTTCTAAGAAAATACTGCGTTGTCGAGAAGATGTCCTGTTGCCGCTTCTCTTTCAGATTCCAGCATAGTTAGTGAGGTTGTACTCAAAGACTTGCTGGCGTACGTGTCTTCGAAACACTCCTACCTCCGAGCCCTCCCTCCCAGGCAGCCCCGGCAGGGGAGCGGCGTGGGGTTTGCCGAGCTGGAGCGGCTGCAGCCGGATGCGCTGGTCCACGCAGTGCTGCGGGTGGTGGCTGTCACTGTGCTGACAGGTACTCGTTGGGGGCACCTCTTACCTTTAGATTCTAAAATAAGATGCAACACCTCCTTAGTGTACAGTGTGGTTAGCATTATCTGTTTCCCATTAGACATTATGACGGAAATAGTCCTTTTTCTTTTCCAGAGGCATTATATAGTTACAGAGGACAGAAGCAAAGGAAAGTTATGTTAACGGTGGAACAGGCCCAAGGTCAGCATTTTATGCTTGTATTATGGGGTCATGGAGCAGCCTGGTATCCTCAGCTTCAAAGGAGAAAAGGTAAATACAACGGAAAGCTTTAACCTATTTATAGTTAGGTGAATGGTTAATGCTTATGAGCCTAAGAGGAGAATCTTAAGAGGTTAGATTACATTTGAAATATAAGTGATCGTGATTAAATATTCTTCTGTTTTAATTTTATACCCCCTGTAAGCAAATCAGTAATCTGAAGCCCTGGTCGGCTTTGCTCCGTGGTTAGAGTGTTGGCCTGAGGACTGAAGAGTCGGGTTTGATTCCTGGTCAAGGGCACCTACCTCGGTTGCAGGTTCGATCCCCAGGCCCGGTCAGGGTCATGAGGAGGCAACCAATCGATGTGTCTCTCTCACATCTTTTTTTTAATGTTTTTATTGATTTGTTTATAGAGAGGGGAAAGGAGAGAGAGAGACAGAAACATCAATGTGAGAGAGAAACATTGATCGGCTGCCTCCTGCACGCCCCTGTCTGGGGAATCAAGCCTGCAACCCGGGCATGTGCCCTGAGCGGGAATCGAACCGGATCTCAGGCCACGGGCCCACACGCAGTCACTGGGCCACACCGACCAGGCTCTCTCTCACATCCTTCTCTCTTCCTTCCCCTCCTACTCTGTCTAAAAATCAATGAAAAATATCCTCAGGTAAGGATTAAATAATAAAATAAAATAAAAAGTCCTCTATAATTACGGCGGTAAAATAAAACCTTCCATTTATTCCCAGGTATAGTACTTTACCATTTTAGTGAAGATCTTATCTCCTTCAGATAATGTTCTTCAAAATTTTAATTCTAGAGAAGCTTCTAGAATTTTATTCAGCCAAAGTACTCTGGTAAATAAACTTCTCTCTGGTTATAAGGCAGATATTAGAGGAGTTGCATTAACTCTTTCAAATCACAATGTTACTGTTTAATAAATTATTCTCTTTCAGGTTTTTATTCCGATTATTTTAAATGTATGGACTGTTAGCCATCCATAGAATGTTTATGTTTAAAATATAACCCATAATTATATTTTCTTTACAGCATAAATTAATAAGTTATCATGTATTGAATTAAATGGAATTGATGTTTCAATAAAATTCTGTATTTTCCTTTTGATATTATGACATCCTTTAGTTGTAACAGTCAAGGATATTATAATTAGTGGCTCATGAGTTATTTTACCCTGTTAAATTAATTCAGAGAGTAAGTGTGTGATCATTCATTTTACCCAAATGTCTCTTCCTAAACTTTTACCTACAAAATAGTTACCTAAAGATAGGATCTGTGACATTGTGTCTCTTAATCATTAATAGCCTATGACTAGGGTTTGAGATAAGTCTGACTTTTGACTTTTATGTTAGGATCAAACAGTGACAAATATTTGTTTGGTTGAGAAATCTGACAAACGTGTCAGTGACAGTCCAACCATTCTTATTGACCAGCCCTTCAGAGCCCGAGCCCGGTCCAGTGCGTGCGGCTCAGGCCGCAGTGTAAAGGCGATGGACACTGACCACAGTGCCGGAGGGGGAGGGCGGGATGGGAGGGAGGGTGTCGGGGGGAGAAACATCTGTAACAAAAGTAAATTAAAACAAAACAGCATATCACACACACACACACACACTATATATATATATATATATGTATATATATATATATATATAGTTAAAGGTATTACTCCAGTTCTAATGAAACTATAGCAAAGCAGCCTGCTCCATGCTTAATATAAATATCCTTTAAAAATGAATAGCTATTCAGTTAATAGAAGAAAAACTATAGTTGTCTTTAGATAATTCTGTAGTATTAGGGTTATGTTGAAAATTTATGAACACAGGCATTGAGATGTAGTTGGTCTTTGTCATGTGTTCAGCACAGGTTATTTATAGCCTCATTCTTAGTTGTGGTGTCGACCTCAGTACCTCAGGATACTTTCAATATGGGACAAAGCCAATTTCGAACCATCATTTAAGTAAGTGATTTCTACTTTCAGAAATTGTTAGCATTCTATCTATTCATTCATTATTTCTTGAAGCATTCTCTATTAACCTTTCTTTATCTTAGCACTGGTTTTACTTGTTTCCAAGAATTAAAAAGACTCACATTTAGGTGATATAATCAGAAATGATTATGCTGAGTCACTATTGATTCAGTCATGATTGAATACTGGAGATAACAGAATTGATGTTTTAGGGAAGAATAATAAGAAATTCCAAGTTCACATTTGGTATGCCTCATATGTAGCAAGCATTGGTCATAGATTCCCAGTGAGGGTGGACTAAAGACCTAAATTACAGTTCTGAAGAATACTTTGGTACACATAAAATAAGCCATTAAGAACTAAAACCATTTCAATGCAATAGCCTCCTGAAATTATTTAATAGAAGTCTAATATTTAAAACATAACATTAGAATAAAGTACTCTCATGACATTGCTAATTAAGCACAGAGTAAATGCAAATAATCCTAATATTTGTCGTTATGCTTAATGCAAAATCATAGTTGTATCTTCATGGAGGTTTGAAACCCATTCACACTCTTTTTTAGTTAAATCATTTTTTAATTTTTTTATTTACTTTTTAATCTTCACCCAAGGATATTCTCCTATTTATCTCAGATAGAGTGGGAGGGAGGGAGGGAGGGAGGGAGGGAGAGAGAGAGAGAGAGAGAGAGAGAGAGAGAAAGAAAGAGAGAAACATCGATGTGAGAGAGACACATCAATCGGTTGCCTTCCGCACGACCCCGACCAGGGCCAGGGACAAACCGCAACCGAAGTACGTGCCCTTTACCAGAATTGAACCTGTGACTCTGGTCGGCGGGCTGATGCTCTAACCACTGAGAAGCACTGGCCAGGGCAGTCATTTTTTATTTTTTAATTATAGTTTACATACAATATTATATTAGTTTCAGGTGTACACCCCAGTGACTAGACATTATATAATTTACTAAGTGATCATCTCGATAAATCTAGTACCCACCTGACACCATACATAGTTATTAGAATATTACTAGCTATATTCCCTATGCTGTACTTTATATCCATGATTATTCTATAACAACAAGTTTATACTTCTTTTTTGAATTTTATCTTTTTAAAATGTTATTTAATTTTTTCATCACCATGTATTCCCCCTGTACCCTTTTTACCTCCACCCACCCCCTTCCCCAACCTCTGTAATCACCACACTGTTGTCCATGTCCATGAGTTCTTTCTTTTTTTCTGTTTAGCACAATCCCTCCACCCCCCAACAGTTTTGTATGTCTTAATCCCTTCATCTGTTTCACTACCCTCTCATCTGGCAACCATAAAATGTTCTCTGTATCTATGAGCCTGTTACTGTTCTGCTTATTTGTTTATTTTGTTTTTTTTAGATTCATTTGTTGATAGATATGTATTTATTGCCCTTTTTTTGTTCATATATTTATTTCTTTATTTAATTTATTTTTGGAGAGTGGAAGGGGAGAGAGGGAGAGAGAAAGGGACGGAGAGAACCACTGCTTTTGCTGTTTCGCTTGTTGATGCGTCGATTGATTGCTTCCTGTATATGCCCCGACGGGAGATCAAACCCGCAGCTTTGGTATGTTGGGAGGACACTACCGAACTGAACTAGTGCCAGGGCTTATTGTTCATATTTTTATCTTTATTTTCCCCTTTTTCTTAAAGGAGAACTTTTAACATAATGCTGGTTTGGTGGTGATGAACTCCTTTAGCTTTTTCTTGTCTGGGAAGCTCTTTATTTATATCTCCTTTGATGCTAAATAATAGCTTTGCTGGGTACAGTAATCTTGGTTGTAGGTCCTTGCTTTTTATCACTTTGTATATTTCTTGCCACTCCTTTCTGGCCTGCAAAGTTTTTGTGAGAAATCAGCTGGCCATCTTATGGGAACTCCCTTGTCGGTAACTAACTGCTTTTTTCTTGCTGCTTTTAAGATTCTCTCTTTGTCTTTAATCTTTTGCATTTTGATGATGATGTGTCTTGGTGTGGACCTCCTTGGATTCATCTTGTTTGTAACTCTCTGTGCTTCCTGGACTTGTATGTCTGTTTCTTTCACCAGGTTAGGGGATTTTTCTGTCATTAATTTTTCAAATAGGTTTTTAATTCCTTGCTCTCTCTTTTTTTCCTACTGGCACCCCCATAATGTGAATGTTGGTACACAAGTTGTCCTAGAGGCTCCTTACACTATCTTCAATTTTTTTGGATTCTTTTTTTTCTTTTTGCTGTTCTGATGTGGTGTTTTTGCTCTTTATATGCCAAATCACTGATTTGATTCTCAGTTTCATCTATTCTACTGTTGATTCCCTGTAAATTATTCTTCATTTCAGTTAGTGTATCCTTCAGTTCTGACTGGTTGTTGTTATGGTTTCATGTCTTTTTTTGTTCTGTTGAAGTTCTGTGTAAGTTTAACCATTCTTCCCCTGAGTTCCTGGAGCATCCTTATAACCATTGTTTTGAACTCTACATCTAGTAGATTGCTTGTCTCCATTTTGTTTAGTTCTTTTCATGGTGTTTCTTTTTCTCTTCTTTTATTAGGGACCTGTTTCTTTGTCTCCTCATTGTGGCAGCCTCCCTGTGTTTGTTTCTATGTATTAGGTAGGGCTGCTACATCTCCCAGGCTTGGTAGAGTGGCCTAATGTAGTAAGTGTCCTGTAGGGTCCAGTGGCACAACCCCCCCTGACCACCCGAGCTGGGCACTCCAGATTTGCACTCCATTTGGGCTGTGAACACCCTCCTGTGGTAGCTGAGCTTTGATTGCTGCTGGCATGGCAGTGGGAGGGGTTTTCCCCAGGCTGATTGGCTATGAGGACTGGTTGTGACCACCATGGAGGATCAGCTGTGCAGGGGTTACTCCATGGAGCAGGACTTAACTTCAGCAGGGCTCTGGTGCCCACTGATTCTACCCCTCAAGCGCGTCGCTTGTGGAGGTGGTTGAGTGGTGCTTTGATGTGTTCTGAAGCTGTCCAGCAGGTGCACTGGCTCTTGGGCCTCCCAGGAGTTGTAGGCCAAGGTCAGCTGCTGTCTGTGCCCTGCCTGGGGCTACCTGGCATGAGCTACAAGGTGATCTGCAGATGGCTGCTACTTGTGCTGGGCTTGGAGGTGCCCCAGAGAGGGCAAGCTGTGAATCAAGTCCGGCTGCCACTAGTGCCAGGCCTGGTGCCACTTAGTGAGAGGTATGGGGCTCGCTGAGGCCAGATGCTGCTTGTTGGAGTTATTTTAGGAAAGTCTGAAGCCTGAGTCAAGACAGTCCATTTGTATAGAAAAGGCACTGGGAACAGCTTGGCTGGGCCTAGAAGTTGGGTGGGGTGAGGTCTCGGGGAATCACCAGGGTGGGGAAACAGCGTCAGCCATGTGATGGAGTCTTCGGGGAGGCTCAGCAAAGGAACAACGAGCGGCCTCTGCCAGCACTTGTCTGGGAGCAAGCTGCCCCTCCAGCTCTCGCCCTGATGCAGACACGTCAGTCGCTCATGCCTTCCGAGCTGCTGCCCCAGCTCGGAGCTCAGAGGCAGTGAGTCTCAGTGAGTTTGTGCATGGGCCCTTTAAGAGGAACGCCCGGGACTCAAGCCACCTGCTCACTCAGCCTCCATCACTGCTGGTGTTTGCAGCTGGAAGTCACGGGGACTCCTCTTCCTGGCACTGGGGCCCAGGGCTGGGGGCCTGGTGTGGAACTGGGACCCCTTGCTTTTCGGTGGTGACTCTTCACCTGATATCCCTCCCAATTTTTATCCACCATATATGGGTGGGACCAGCCTGTTGCATCTCTTTCCCTCCTACCAGTCTCAATGTGGCTTCTTTACATCCTTCATTGTAGGACTTCTATGCAGCTAGATTTCAGGTGTTTGTGAATGATGCTTGTTCTGTAGTTTAGTTGTAATTTTGATGTGATTGTAGGAGGAGGCAGGTACTGACCAGAAGTCTGATTCTGGCTCCCCCCCCCCCCATTCACACCCTTAATTCATGATTCAAATATAGAAATATAAGATTGTCTCAATACCCTGCTCCCGCAGACTTATCAGCCTAACCGGCATGTGACTCCTTTCTATCACTTAACATGCCCTTCTTCCCCTGCTTCGGTACCTTGGACTGCGTGTTTCCTCTGCCTGGGAGCTTTCCCTGCCACCCGCCCACGTGCATGGCTCCTGCATCTCAGCTCCCACGTCCTCTGCGGGGAGCCTCACACGTGTGTGCAAAACACTCTCCATCAGGTCACTCTGCGTCCCACTCTGCCCCCGCACACGTGTGCGCGTAACACTGTCCATCCGGGCACTCTGCGTCCCACTCTGCCCCCGCACACGTGTGCGTAACACTCTCCATCCGGGCACTCTGCGTTCCACTCTGCCACATCACACGTGGGGTAACCAGCCTATTGGCTGGCTTGATAATTAACTACTTTTCTCAGATTGCAGATTCTGTGAATAGCTTATTTATCATTTTGTCACCATTACATAGCATATGCCTGCCCTAGAAAATAACTTTCTTTATGGATGAATGAAAGAAAAATAAAATACAGATTAGGCAACCTTTTGAAATTCCCACTGCCTTTAAGGAACAAGAGACTCTAGTTTGAGGAGGAAATAACTGCTTATTTCAAGTAATAAGAAAAAAATTGTAAATTTAACCATGCATGCACATGAAAGTTTTGCAATCCATGGGGTGTATTAAGAAATTATATTTAAACTTGGGCACTGAAGGCTTGTCGTTAGAACTCTACTTTGGTTAACTTAAACAATGAAGGGGTTATATTTGCAGTATACAGATGTACCTCATAGCATGTAAGGCAGGAGGGCATATGGGTTTCTGGAGGATGTGGCACTAGGAGCTGAAAAGCTTTGTGGGTCAGGCAGCTTCTCCGTGCATCTGCTTTATTCCCTCAGTGAGGATTTTCTCTGCTCAACCACGTGGAAAGCAGGTGCTTACTCTGTAGCTCCTGATTTTGCTTTTATTTTTAAGAAATCAGTCCCATTTCCAGATCTTCAGCAAAGAGAGTCAGATTGCCCAGGTGGGATCTGATTCCATCACCTGTGGCCTGGAGGACTAGCAAAGAGGGGCGCCTGAGCTTGTGCCAGAGGGCCGGGCTGTCAGAGGGGCATCGTGTTCTGGGTGGGCACACATTGGAATTCACTGCCAAACACATGTGTGTCCACTGGCCTGGAGAGGGGTGTGTGATATATTATTTAGTTTAAAAAGCAGATTATACAACTTCCTGTGGAGTAGGATCCCATTTTAATAAAAGTGTGTATCTAAGTATATATTTACACTTACAAATCTGGAAATAGTAGGTACTAAAATGCTAGCAGTGGCTATCTCTGTATGGTCTTTATACCTTCAGTTTTAATGTTATGTGCGTAGAATCTGTTAATTTTTCAGCCTTTCAGTATGAAAAAGTTTAAACATATGTAGAGTACCATTATTCAGCTTATTAAACCATAGCCAATCTCATTTCACCTATTAATTCCCTTTTCTTTTACTATCTAAATATTTTATAGTAAACATATTTTATCTTATAATTAAACATAAAATCAAACTTATCTTTTTAGGTAATGTTTGGGATATCCAGCTAAAAATTTGAGGAAAAAAATTAAATTAAATGTATACTTCATATTTGTGCAGAAATAAATTGCAGATGCATTAGAGACTCCAAACATTGTTTAGAGAAACAATGAGCAGTGCAAGAAAAATGAGCAAACTTGTTTGGAATCCAAAGTTAGTAGGTTAAGTGAAATGCAGCAACAAAAACTACTATGCCATATATACAAATCATAATATACATATTTAAAAGACAAGTGAAAAAACAGAAAAATGTTGCATTTTGTCAGGATATAATACAGTAAGCAAAAGACAAATGTCTATAAGGATAAATGGGTAAAAGGTATATGAATAGGCCCCAAAGAAGAAATGGCCAATAAATATAAGAAAAAGATCACTTTTTAGTAATAGAAGACACACAAATAAAATAATGATGTATGATTTTTCTCCTAAGAAATTAATAGGGAAGATATGGGGAGACAGTGACTCTCATAAACTATTGGACATGTAAATTGGAAAACCTTTCTTAAGAACAATTGACAATCCATATTAAAGCCTTCTAATTTGTAATATCTTTGGCCTAATAATTACACTTATGGAGATTAATCATGGCTATGCATAAAGATGTAGCTAAAAATCTATTTATCATGGTACTATTTATAGTAGTGAAAAGTAAAAAACAATCAACATGCTCCAAAATAGAGGATTGCTCTAATAATTGTAAGACTTTGGTCTATCTATACAATGGCATACTATGCAGATTTTAAAATAACGGGAAATAATACTTAATGATATGTAAAATATGTATTTGACATATTAAGTAAAAATGAGACAAATTGAAAACAAATGTTAACTTTATTTTGGGGTGTTGAGATAGTGGCCACTATTTATTTACTTTGCTTATCTATGTATTTTATAATGAGACAAGAAAGTTATTGTAAAAATAGTGATAGGTTTTAAGCAGCATCTTGGACTATATATACTTTGGTTCCTTTTTTTTTTTTTTGCTTTAGTTCTTTCTAAGGATGACGTACTTAAAAAGGTAGTGACTTGTTTTAAAATTTCTGACAAAGTAAACCATGTCAAGTGAAAAAACGAAGGAAGTGGGTGGGGTGTATGAGTCTGAGTTAGGGTTAGATGTTGTCCTACAGTAAGTGATGAGCTGAAAAGACAGCTGTTACTATCGAAACTTAGTGGTAAGGGACCTCTTTCTGTTTTATTGTAGTTTTTAAAGTTGAATTCCTTATATAGAATATGTTTATTTGGCAAGGTCTGTGCTATTGTGGTTTTAAGAATTAGAATTATTACTGAGGAAATTAAAATTTTAAATTAAAAATGTATCTAAATGGTTTTTTGTTCTGGAAAAAAATGAGCTGTATAAGAAAACTAAGGTGCTGTAAATCAGTGAGAGATATTGATTATGGCAGACACATGTCCTTTTCTCTGTCATTATTATTTTTTTCAATCTTTGCTTGTAGATATCAAAATGAAAATTTGTTTCTCTGAGAAGCAGTTGGTTACAGTAAATTGCGACTGTTAAGGAGACCAAGAAATTTCTAGAAAAAAATTTTATTAAAATTATCTCTAGCATCCTTATCTTACTGCTTTAATACATTCATATTTTGTCTCTTTTTTATGTTTTAATTGATTCTTAAAGAGAGAGGACAGGGAGAGAGAGATAGAAACATCGATGTGAGAGAGAAACATCCATCAGCTGCCTCCTGCTCGCCCCCTACTGGGGATGTAGCCCACAACCCGGGCATATGCCCCAACCAGGAATCACACCGGGACCTCTCAGTCCATGGGGTGATGCTCAACCCACTGAGCCACACTGACTGGGCTCATATTTTGTCTCTCTTTTTTTTTTTTTTTTATACAAAAGAATATTTTAATTATTGTCCTTAGATACTATAAAGACTATACATGATTCGGAAATGAGACTGTACCAAACAGTGGTGGAAGAAGAATGGTCCACTCTACGCCTTCTCTTTTGTCTGGTCACTCAGAAATATAATGTTATCAGCTATGATTGTTGTTGCTTGTCGCCTCACATTATTTTTATCCATGTATTCGCCGTAGTCTACTTTCCCTTCCACAAAAATTCGAGACCCCTTTTTCACATACTGATATGCCACATCTCTGAGGCCTGGTCGGAATACTGAAATTCTGTGCCATGTTGTCTTTTGACTGACGTCACCAAGTTGGTATGCTTCATTGTCTCCTGATTTCCACATCTCATTGGTTGCTAGAGAAAATATTGTGACTGGGTTTTTCCCTTCCACCTGTCTCATGACAGGGTCCTGACCCACTCGCCCAAGCAACTGCACACGATTCAGAGCTGTAATACAGGTCTTCGAAACATTGCTTCTATTTTTCTGTTCCTACAATCTAATCTTCACTCTTTACTGACGCTCCAGCCGAACCAAGCCAGGAGGTCACTTCCCGACGCTATTTTGTCTCTTTATATCCAAAGTCCTTAGTGTGATAAAAATTGTATTTAACTGATTAGATCAAGTCAATCTGTTTAATCTGATTCTGAGCCTAGATTATTTCCTTTTTGACAATTTTTTGTTTTTATTTGTTTGTTTAAGATTGTATCTGGGAATTCAGGTATCTTCTTGCTCAGCGCAATTGCCTCCTAGAGACCCTGGAGTTACACACGACACCCTGGTCGTCCTGTGAACGCCTGTTCGATGATGACGTAAGGGCAGTCACATTCAACACGAAATTTCAGAAGAGCGTGTCCTCTTCTGTGAAGATGTCAGATTTAGCAACACACCTGCAAGATAAGTGTTCAGGTAAGATCTTTATATATGTAAGATATTGCTAGTTTTAATACAAACAAAGAGGCTACCATTTGCGAGAAAATTATATTGTTAAATATAAAAGTGAAATATAGATCTTTGTAAATTCCTGAATCAAATATGGGCATCTTCTTAGCCTTTTGCCTACCATTTTTTGAGGTTAATTTGTAATTATTAGGGATCACTTAAAATTTTTTGTGTATAGTTACTAGCAGCTCATCATTTAATTCAGTCTGCTTTTTAGCAGTAGATATTAGTTTGAATTTTCTGTAGTTTGATATGCAGGGAATCATACAGTATATACACTGTTTATCTTTAACATAGAAAATTATTTTGAAATGTATCCTTGCTGTTGTGTGTATCAGTAATTCATTTCTTTTTATTCTGTTGTATGAATATATTATTGTTTCTATCTGTTCATCTATTGATGGACATTTGACTTGTTTTCAATTCTTAGCTGTTACAAATAAAGCTTCTAATACCTACAAGTTGAATAGCTGGATTATATGGTATATGTTTAACTTTTTAAGAAACTGCCATATGATTTTGCAAAGTGGTTGTACCATATGTAGTGATTTTGGTATTACCTAATATTGCTAATCCGTGTCTTCTTGTTTTTTTCCTGATCAATTTGACTAGAGGTTTTCAATTATATTGACACTCCCCCCCGTCAGGTTCCCCCCTTCAGGTTTCCCCCCCTTCAGGTTCCGGGGGGGCCCCCCGTCAGGTTCCCCCAGGTCCCACGCCCCCCCCCCCGTCAAGTTCCCTCCCCCCCCGTCAGGTTCCCCCCTTCAGGTTTCCCCCCCTTCAGGTTCCGGGGGGGCCCCCCGTCAGGTTCCCCCAGGTCCCACGCCCCCCCCCCCCGTCAAGTTCCCTCCCCCCCCCGTCAGGTTCTCCCCCCGTCAGGTCCCCCCCCCATCAGGTTCCCCCCCCCGTCAGGTTCCCCCCCATCAGGTTCCTCCCCCCCGTCAAGTTCCTCCCCCCCCGTCAGGTTCCCCCCCCGTCAGGTTCCCCCCCATCAGGTTCCTCCCCCCCGTCAAGTTCCTCCCCCCCCCGTCAGGTTCCCCCCCCCGTCAGGTTCCCCCCCCATCAGGTTCCTCCCCCCCGTCAAGTTCCTCCCCCCCCCGTCAGGTTCCCCCCCCCGTCAGGTTCCCCCCCATCAAGTTCCCCCCCATCAGGTTCCCCCCCTTGTCAGGTTACCCCCTTCTTGTCAGGTTCCCCCCCCGTCAGGTTCCCCCCCTCAGGTTTCTCCCCCCCCCCGTCAGGTCCCCCCCTGTTAGGTGCCCCCCCATCAGGTTCTCCCCCAGTCAGGTCCCCTCTCTTCAGGTTCCGCCCCCATCAGGTTCCCCCTCCCATCAGGTTCCGCGCCCCACCCCCATCAGCTTCCTCCCCCCCCTGTCAGGTCCTCCCTTGTTAGGTCCCCCCCAGTCAGGTTCCCCTCCATCAGGTCCCCCCTGTCAGGTCCCCCTCCTTCGGGTTCCCCCCCCTTTAGGCCCCGCCCCCTTCGGGTCCCACTCCCTTCAGGTTCTCCTCTTCCAGCGCCTCTCGCCCAGGGCTCCCTGAGCCCGTTTTTGAAGGTTTTTAATCAAGGGTTTATTATGTAGGCTAATCAATTAAATCATTGGTCACTGGTGATTAACCCAAACTTTCAGAGATTGTGGCGTAGAGCTGAAGGCTCCAACCCTCGAGTCCTGCCTTGGTCTTTCTGGTGACCACCCCCAACCTAAGGTGCCTCTGGGCCCCCAGACAGGGCATGTAATTAGCATACAAAACACTCCTGTCACTCTGGAGATTACAAGGGATTAGTCCTGTGTGCCAGGGCTAGGGACAAAGACCAAATATTTGTTTTATTATTGTATCACAAGGTGAGTCGAGTTTCTTTCTGTACAATGGCTGAATGCCAGATTAAAATTTTATACATTGTGTTAATTCACGTAGGTATGTATATATGTTTTACAAGATATGATTATTGACATTAGCATTATTATATCATAAAACTAAGCTAGGGAGCCTGGCCAGCGTGGCTCAGTGGTTGAGCGTCGACCCTACACCAAGAGGTCGCCGGTTGGATTCCCCATCAGGACACATGCCCAGGTTGTGGGCCTGATCCCCAGTGGGGGGCACACAGGAGGTGGCCAATCGATGTTCTCGCTCATCGATGTTTCTCTCTCTCTGCCCCCTCCCTTCCTCTTTCAATAAAGGAAAACAAAAAACAGCTAGTGAGAATGCAAATAGAAAACAGAAATAACACCTCAAAAACCCCAACTTTTATTTTTTTATTTTTTTTTATTTTTTTATCCTCATCCGAGGACATTTTTCAATTTTTTGTACAGACAGAGTGGGAGGGAGAGAGAGGAAGAGAGAGAGAGGGAAACATCGATGTGAAAGGGCCACATCGAGTGGCTGCCACCCGCACGACCAACCAGAGCCGGGGACAGACTGCAACCGAGGTACATGCCCTTAGCGGGAACTGAACCCGGGTCTCTCCAGACCGCAGGCGGACGCTCTAACCGCTGAGCCAAACCGGCCAGGGCCCAACTTTTATTTTTATTTATTTATTTATTAAATATGTTTTTATTGATTTTTCAGAGAGAGGGGAAAGGAGAGAGAGAGAGAAACATCAATGTGAGAGAGAAACATCCATCTGTTGCCTCCTTCACAGCCCTTACTGGGGACCGAGCCCGAAACCTGGGCATGTGCCCTGACCGGGAATCAAGCCAGGGCCTCTCAGACCACCAGCCGGAAGAAACCCAGCTTTTAATGGAATACAGAGATTTATCCTCAGAGAACTCCATATACGCAGTTCTGCAGTGAAACATTTATTAATACTAATAATTTAAAATTAATATTTCTGGAAGATAAACAAGTGATAGAAAATTTACAAATTTTTATATGATTTAACTTTTATACAACTATCAAAATAGGAGGTAGGTTGCCATGGCCACAGAAGACTGGATTTATGCGAACGGTGCGTCATGGGGATGCGGTCGTGTCACCTACGTTCCTGAGAGTTTCATGTGTGTGTGCTCCCCTGGCCCCCCAAGCTCATGGAGCAGATGCTGCAGGGAGGAGTGCTGTAGGCATGTCAGCTCGCTCAGCCACCTCGTACGTCAAACAGCTGCTTGCTGAGATTGAAGACCTGGAACTAAATTTTGAAATAAAAGATCAGCAGAATCGGTGGCCGCAGCTCTGATGGTTGGTGGCACCAGGGATGTGGACGCCCTCGCCCGCTGGGCGTGAGGCTGGCGACCGGAGTGCTCCTGCAGACCCTGGAGCCGTGCTCCCTGACGGAAACCATGCCACACTGCCTGCCGCCAGTCCCTGGGGGTGTCAGAGAGGCCCTTTAGCCGCTTCAGTTCTGTGTGTGTGCAACTGTGAGGGCTGAATTAATAGCTTCTATCATTTTTTATGTGTTTTTAAGACAGAACTGGAGAGAGCACATGGAAGTACAAGCAAGTTTTTCCTAACTTGTTTCATAGTTAAGTAAAAGGAAGGAGAAAGGGATCGCCATGGGAGAATTTCCTTAAGGGAGTTTGCCCTTGCTATAAAGCTTCCCAAAAGCCGGAGAGGGATGAAGTTGTGCCTCACTCCTTGTAAAGACATGAAGATGGCCCAGGCCGGTTTCTCAGTGGTTAGAGCATCAGCCTGCAGACCAAAGGGTCTCAGGCTTGATTCCCTGTATAGTGCACATACCTGGGCCCCAGCCCTGGGCCAAGTCGTGTGGGAGGCAGCTGATCGATGTGTCTCTCTCACTTTGATGTTTCTCTCTCCCTCTCTCCTTCCCTCCCTCCTTTCCACTCTATCTAAAAATCAATGGGAGAATATCCTCAGGTGGATTAACAACAACAAAAAGAAGAAGAGAGCCCTGGCTGGTTTGGCTCAGCGGTTAGAGCATCGGCCTGTGGTCTGGAGAGACCCCGGTTCGGTTCCCGCTAAGGGCGTGTGCCTCCGTTGCAGTTTGTCCGCGGGGTCGTGCGGGTGGCAGCCACTCGATGTGTCCCTTTCATGTCGATGTTTCTCTCTCTCTCTCTCTCCCCCCCTCCCACTCTATCTGAACAAAATATTGAAAAGTGTCCTCAGGTGAGGATAAAGAAGAAGAAGAAGAAGAAGAAGAAGAAGAGGAAGAGGAAGAGGAGGAGGAAGAGGAAGAGGAGAGGGGACTGAAGAGGAAGAGGAGAGGGGACTGAAGAGGAAGAGGAGGAGAGGGCAGGGAGAGGGCATGTTAGCTGGGTCACGTGCTCGTAGGGATTTCTTCTCAGAGATGCAACTTGTTCTGCGTGAACCCAAAGGGCAGGGAGAAGGAGAACACCCACCTCTTCAGCCAAATAGATCTTCATTCCAAGTTGTAGACACATTACCTTTACATTATAGGGTCAATATTGAAGCCATAGTGGGTGAGATGATTTAGGAAAAGAGTGAAAAAGAGAAGACAGACCAAGAACAAGATCTCGGGGTTTATCCTTTGCCATAAGTAACTAAATCAACTGCATAATTAACCGTGTTTGTAAATTATAATTTTGATCCTATAATTTATAACATTTTTTGTTTCCCTTTTGTAGGAGTGATTCTCATCAAAGCCCAGATTGTAGAGCTATTATTTCCTGTTACAGCAGCTCAGCAAATAGTTGTGAATGCTCACAGCTCTCTGAAGAGCGTTGTTTCTTCTCTTCCCAACGTGACGTACACTGGCTGTGCAAGTTGTGGGCTGGAACTGGAAACAGACGGGAACAAGATCTACAAACAGTGTTTCAGCTGCTTGCCATGTACTAGGAAGAAAGTATTCTACAGGTAGGCAGCTAAGCAAGGCAGTCAGATGGAAGATTCATATTCTTATAGGACTGGAAATGACCAATAAATTACATCTGTCAACTCTCATTTTCTAGTGAGAACGAATTAGAGCTGATACAAGAGAACAAAATGTCCCGAGTGATAAATTGCTGTTTATGAAAGCAAAAATTGCTCAGTAATCACAACAGGATTTTAAAAAGCAGTAGTTGGGATATTTTATTGTCTTGAAGAAGCTATACTAAAGAAAATTCTTACATGGTTTACACTTTTAACCAAGATCTAAATGAAGAAGCTTAGTCACCCACCTTAACAAATCATTGGAATTTAAAGGTTAAATGTATTTCCCAGCTGGTGTGGCTCAGTGGTTGAGCGTTGACCCTGCACCAAGAGGTCGCCAGTTCAATTCCCGGTCAGGGCACATGCCCAGGTTGTGGGCCTGATTCCCAGTGGGGGCATGCAGGAGGCGGCCAGCCAGTGTTCTCTGTCATCGATGTTTCTACCTTTTTCCCCTCTCCCTTCCCCTCTCTCTAAAATCAATAAAGAAAAATATTTTTTTTAATAAAATAAAGGTTGAAAGTATTATGTGGTCTAAACTGTGAGCCGTGGAAGTAGTGAGGCGTTTAACCTTTCCCAACTTCAGTTTCCACAACTCCACATGAGAAAGCACAGGCCCCAAATGTCCTATGGTGAAATGGCTAACCAACTCAGTGAAGACACATTGTTTTCCAAATAGTAAAAGCTCAGTGTCTTGGGTAATCTTTTTCTTTTTACCTTATAAATCACGTGCCTTTACAAAATAGCAGTCAGTTAAAACATTTCACCACCCCTCCCCCAGAAGCCCCTGACCCACTCGCAGTCACTTCTGGTTCCCCTCCACCTAACTGAACCTCGGGTCGTTCCACTTTTTGGCTACTATAAGTAGCACTGATGTGGACATTCATGTACAGATTATTGTGTGGACATGTATTTTCATTTCTCTGGGGTGTGTACCCAGGAGTAGAGTTGCTGGGTCATGTGGTAACTAACCTTTGAGGACCTGCCACACCGTTTCCAAAGCTGCAGGGTTTTACCTCCTCCCTGTGCTGCGTGGGGCCACAGTCTCCCATCCTGGCCGGCACTTTCTTTTGCTTTTGGTTGGTCTCTCGAAGAAAGGTATCATTTCTAAGCCAAGATCATAGAGATTTACTCCTATATTTTCTTCTAAGACTTTTATAATTATTACTCTTACATATTAGGTCTATGATTTATTTTTAGTTAATTTTTTGGATGGTATAAGGAAGGGGTCCTGCTTCATTCCTTTGCATGTGAATACCCCAGTGGCATGGCATTGTTTGTGACAAGGCTGCTGTTCACTAGTGTATGCTGTCAGTCGGTTTCCACAGGAACTGCAAGGCCAGTGTTCGCTAGTGTATGCTGTCAGCCGGTTTCCACGGGAACTGCAAGGCCGCTGTTCACTAGTGTATGCTGTCAGTCGGTTTCCACGGGAACTGCAAGGCCAGTGTTCGCTAGTGTATGCTGTCAGTCGGTTTCCATGGGAACTGCAAGGCCACTGTTCGCTAGTGTATGCTGTCAGTCGGTTTCCACAGGAACTGCAAGGCCAGTGTTCGCTAGTGTATGCTGTCAGTCGGTTTCCACGGGAACTGCAAGGCCGGTGTTCACTAGTGTATGCTGTCAGCCGGTTTCCACGGGAACTGCAAGGCCGCTGTTCACTAGTGTATGCTGTCAGTCAGTTTCCACGGGAACTGCAAGGCCGCTGTTCGCTAGTGTATGCTGTCAGTCGGTTTCCATGGGAACTGCAAGGCCACTGTTCGCTAGTGTATGCTGTCAGTCGGTTTCCACGGGAACTGCAAGGCCAGTGTTCACTAGTATATGCTGTCAGCCGGTTTCCACGGGAACTGCAAGGCCGCTGTTCGCTAGTGTATGCTGTCAGCCGGTTTCCATGGGAACTGCAAGGCCACTGTTCGCTAGTGTATGCTGTCAGTCGGTTTCCACGGGAACTGCAAGGCCGGTGTTCGCTAGTGTATGCTGTCAGCCGGTTTCCACGGGAACTGCAAGGCCGGTGTTCACTAGTGTATGCTGTCAGCCGGTTTCCACGGGAACTGCAAGGCCGCTGTTCACTAGTGTATGCTGTCAGCCGGTTTCCACGGGAACTGCAAGGCCACTGTTCGCTAGTGTATGCTGTCAGCCGGTTTCCACGGGAACTGCAAGGCCACTGTTCGCTAGTGTATGCTGTCAGTCGGTTTCCACGGGAACTGCAAGGCCACTGTTCGCTAGTGTATGCTGTCAGTCGGTTTCCACGGGAACTGCAAGGCCACTGTTCGCTAGTGTATGCTGTCAGCCGGTTTCCACGGGAACTGCAAGGCCTATGTTCGCTAGTGTATGCTGTCAGTCGGTTTCCACGGGAACTGCAAGGCCGCTGTTCGCTAGTGTATGCTGTCAGTCGGTTTCCACGGGAACTGCAAGGCCGGTGTTCACTAGTGTATGCTGTCAGTCGGTTTCCACGGGAACTACAAGGCTGGTGTTCACTAGTGTATGCTGTCAGTCGGTTTCCACCCGGAACTGCAAGGCAAACACCAGGTTTAGTTGGGGGTCTTTTAGGAATTGCAACATTGGAGACACAGACTGAGGTAGAAAACCAAATGTGTTCCAAGAGGGGAAAAGGGACAGTATGTATAGACAAAAAAGGGGACTTTCAAAGGGATGACCTCAGTCGCTGTGAAAGAGCTGTTTCTGGTGCCGGCCAGTGTGCTTACACTAGGCCATAGGACTGGTTGCATATGTGTTTTGCTAGGTGAACATTTTATTTCGTCATAGTTTTTCCAGCCAGTTCTAGGAATTGTATCACAATGTAGCTGTTTGTGCTCTGACCCAGTTCTGAAGGTCAGTGCCCAGAGGGGCTGTGTTAGCTCCGCTCCCTGGAGGTCTCCAGGCTCCAGGCTGTGTGCTCTGCGACAGAATTAACTCCACTGTGCGGTCCGCGTCTTACCCCACCCGGCGCTGAGCAGTCTGTGGGACTCGGCAGACACTGAGTACATATGTTTTGAAATAAAGAATGGAGTAAGAGAGAGAGCCTGGGGCAGGATTGTAGACTGAAAAAGAGGAAAGGACCTAGAATCCTCCTGTGTGTAAAGGGGGGAGTAGATTTTGGAGGGAAATCAGTGCATTGTTTTAGCTGTCACATTGAATTCCCCTATATTCATGAGTCTGTTTCTAAATTCTATTCTCAATTTATTTTTTAAAAATTATATTTATTTATTTTTATAGGAGGTAATACATACCATGGTAAAAATGCAATCTGTAGAGGTAGGAGTGAAACAAAAAAAAATAAAGGTCTTTCCTCTCCACCCTCCATCATCAGTGCTCCTTCCATACATATTCTTCCAGTAATTCATTATGCTCATGCCGTTCATAGATAGATTTAATTCACATTGTTTGTTCATGTCCTTTGTTCCTTAGAGTATATAGCACGGTCTACCTTCCCTAATAGCACTTACGAATCTTGCGCGTTCTTTCTAATGCTACGTAGTACACCACTGCCCGATGTGCTGGAAATGACCCACCCACCTCCTTCTCTAGTGCGGGCCAAAGCCTTTGTTTCTGACAGCAAGACTCCGGTGGGAAACATCACTTGAAATTGCTATTATCTTTATTTTTGTTTCAAAAAAATAACGTATACAACAGTGTAAAACAATATTTTCTTATACTAGAATCTGACATTTTAAAATGAATATAGAATAAATCTAATTTATTATTTGAAACTCTTTTTTAAAAGGCCTTCTCTTATTTCTAGGATGTTTCAGAATACCCTAGAGTTATTTAAAAAATTAAAATTAACCCTGCATAAAAACCCAGTGCTTTTTGAAATACTGCATTTACACATTCTTTTAAACGTGCAGTCTTTTGAGGGTCGTGTGCTCCTTACTCTTTTGCAGGCCGGCGCTAATGACTGTAGCTGAGGGAGTACGGAAGGTTTGCGTCCGTGTGGGGTCAGAGCTGATGGAGAAGATTCTTCTCAACATCTCTCCTGACTGGCTCGGCAGAGTTATCGGTAAGATAGCGACACGCCGTGGAGAGCTTATTCTTTGTGAAACCATTCATTTCAGGAGTGTAGAGTGTAATTGGAACAGAAAGAACACTAGACTTTAAATTAAGGCTTAACTTTTGTCAGAATAAAAGAATAATAATTTAGCTTGAGTGAAACACAAGACTGTGTCAGGTAAGACTTGCTCTACACCTGTCTCAGCACATGAACAGAGGGAAGCAAGCACCTTATTTTTTCTTACTCTAAAGTGTCAATTGGTAGTTTTTAAAAAATTAAATTATTAGAGGAACATTTGTTAATAACATTATATAAATTTCAGGTGTACAATTTTCTAATATATCATCTGTAAATTGCATTGTGTGCTCACTACCCAAAGTCTAGTCTCCTTCCTTCACCATATATTTGACCCCTTATCCTCTTCATCGCTTGCCCTCTGGCATCCACCATACCGTTAGTGCCTTAGTTTTTTATTTTTTATTTTCTGTACCTTAGTTTTATAATAGTTAAGTAAATGAATGAGTGACACTGTATATGTGAAGATAGTCTACTGCCAGTAGAGTGGATTTACAGTATCTTTAGCCATGACATTAGGTATAGTCAGTGGCTAACAGCAAAGTGAAGATAACCCATTTGTCAGATTATCCTGAGACAATTAAAGTCATACTTCTTGATACTTAATGAAATTGTAACCATAAGTGAAAATATGGGCACCAATTATAAATTAGTCATCAGACATTCAGACTATCACTAATGTAGTTTTTTTTAGCTTATCAAATTGAAAATGCAAAAATTTTAATTATTGTGAAGAATTTCATACCTCCATAAATATGATATTGGCCGCCCAAGATTTCTAGACCCAATCCAAGAAAGACTGGTGGTGCTGGTCAGGGAACTAGTATAGTTTGAGCATAGTCAGTAGTGCCTTGTTTGTCTAGTATTGAGCAGCCTGCTAAATAACTCGATTAGATGTTCTAAAACAAGAAGAGGAAGAATATAGGATGAATGTAGAATACAATGACACTTCTGTCTATAATTTTAGTATTTTTATATTATCAAGATTTGATATTCATTAAGTAACTGATTTAAGGTTCTGTTTTGTGTGTGTGTGTGTATATATATATATATATATATATATATATGAAATAAGAAAGGCCTTTTAGGAGTTTCAAATAATAAATCAGATTTATTCTATATTCATTTTAAAATTTCAGATTCTAGTATAAGAAAACATTATTTTACCCTGTTGCGTACATTATTTTTTTTGAAACAAAAATAAAGATAATGACATATATATATGTATCTATATGTTATATATATAAAACTATAAGAACTATAGACTGGATAAATATAAGAGTACTTTTAAAAGAATTTTTTTCCGATTACAGTTGACAATGTTATATTAGTTTCAGGTATGAAACCAGTGATTAGACATTTATATAACTTACAAAGTTTTCTTATATGTAATTTATTGTTTCTGGTCTTATATTTAGATCTTTAATCCATTTTGAATTAATTTTTGCATGTGGGGACAAACAGTAGTTCAGTTTCATCCTTTTGCACGCGGCTTTCCAATTTCCCAGCCCTTTGATCGAAGGAGCTTTCCTCTCTCCACTGTGTGTTTTTGGCTCCTTTGTAAAAAAATATTTCCCACATACATATGTGTAACTGTTGCTATTTTAATTTTTTTTTTCCTCACCCGAGGACATTTTTCCATTTTTTGTTCAGATAGAGTGGGAGGGAGAGAGAAGAAGAGAGAAAGAGAGAGAAAGGGACACATCGAGTGGCTGCCACCCGCATGACCAACCAAGGCTGGGGACAAACTGCAACCAAGGTACATGCCCTTAGCAGGAACCAAACCTTGGTCTCTCTAGACTGCAGGCTGACGCTCCAACCGCTGAGCCAAACCAGCCAGGGCACTGTTGCTATTTTAATGATGTGCCTTGGTATGAGCCTCTCTGGGCTCATCTTGATGGGGACTCTGTGCTTTTTGGACTTGTACAATGGAACCTCAGTTCTCAAACTTAATTTGTTCAAGAAGCCTGTTCGAGAATTGATTTGTTCAAAAACCAAATCATTTTTTTCCCATTAGAAATAATGTAAATTGAATTATTTTACTCCAGACCTCCAATGATTCCGTTTTACCTTTCTTATATACAGTGCATATCTAATGTACTGTCTAGTCTACAAACAAACACTGTTTTATTTAGTGAGGCACCCCTGACTGTCCTTAAATCACTTTTGGTGCTCATTCCAGAGGTGTCCTTCAGGAGGTCAGCATGCAACACCTCTGCTTTTCACATATCACTGCCTCCAAAATGCTGTTGCCAGCTAACTGCTTTTTGTTTATCCAAATCAACAAGTTTTTCTCTCTCTTCAAATGCCTGTGATCATTGTTTCTTTTACACCCTTAGCAACATCAGCACTCTTGATGGTCTCTTGATGTTTTATAATTTTGCTAATCATCCATTTTGCCAGCAATTAAAGGGAAAAAAACCACAAAAGTATTCACAGCACAATTTCCTGAGATGTTAATTATGTGAGATTTAGTCCAGCTGGTATGACTCAGTGGATAGAGCATCGTCTCACGGACTGAGAGGTCCTGGTTTGATTCCCAGTCAGGGCACATGCCAAGCTTGTGGGCTCGATCCCCAGTAGGGGGTATGCAGGAGGCAGCTGATCAACGTATTGCTCTCACATTAATGTTTCTATCTCTCTCCCTTCCTCTCTCTAAGAAAACAAAAAAACAAAAAAACAATGCAAGATTTAGCGGTAAACTGACTCAAATTTTCTCATTTGCTAATGGCCTGAGAGACACATTTTGTTATACTGATGTATCAGCAGGAAAAGATTGTCAGGTCAAGAACCGAAATTTTGTTCAACAACTGAGACATTTTTTCCGTGAACAACTTGGTCGAGAACTGAACTGTGAGGTGGGAAATGTTTGAGAACTGAGGTTTGACTGTATGTCTTTTTCCCTTACCAGGTTAGGGAAGTTTTCAGTCATTATTTCTTCAAATAGATTTTCAATCCCTCACGCTTTCTTCTTCATCTGGTACCCCTATGATGCAGATGTTGTTATAAGTGATATTGTCCCAGAGGTCTTTTAAATTATCCTCACTTTAAAATTTATTTTTTCTTTCTGCTGCTCTGATTGGGTGTTTTTTGCTGTCTGTCTTTCAAATCACTGATTTAAACATCTGCTTCATCTAATGTGCTGATTTCTTCTATTGCATTCTTCATTTTAGTTGTTGTAGTCTTTATTTCTAACTGGTTCTTGTTTATAGTTTCTATATCCTTTTTTTATGCTGTTGAAGTTCTCACTAAGTTCCTAGGGCATCCTTATAACCATTGTTTTGAATGCTATATCTGGTAGTGTGTTTGCCTTCATTTCATTTATTTCTTTCTTTGGAGATTTTTATTGTTCTTTTGTTTGGGACATTTTTTTTTTTAACCCTCACCCAAAGATATTTTTCTATTTATCTTCAGAGAGAGAGAGACAGACAGACAGACAGACAGACAGACATTGATGTGAAAGAGACACATCTATTGGTTGCCTCCCCCAGGACCCTGACCAGGGCCAGGGATCTAACCACAACTGAGGTACATACCCTTGACTGGAATTGAACCCTTGACTCTTTGGTTTGTGGGCCAACACTCCAACCACTGAGCCAAACCATCCTGGGCTTTTGTGTGTGTGTGTGTGTGTGTCCTCATTTTGGCTGCTGTTTTGTGTTTGTTTATAGGTATTAGGTAGATCTTCTTTGTCTCCCAGTCTTGGTAGAGTGGCCTTATGTAGTAGGTGTTCTATAGGGCCCAGTAGTGCAGCATCCCTGGTCACCTTATCTGGATGCTCCAGGTGTGCTCCTTGTGTGAACAGTGTGCATCCTCTTGTTGTAGTTGAGCCTTGATTTCTGTTGGCACATCAGTGGGAGGGATTGACCCCAGGGTGATCAGCTATGAGGATTGACCATGACTACAGTGGGGGAGTTGCTGTGCAGGGACTGACCTCATGGAGCAGAACTCATTTCAGTAGAGCTCTGGTGCCCACCGAGTCCACCGCTTGAGTGTGTTGCTCATGAAGGTAGTTGGATAGTACTCCAGCAAGGTCTGAAGCTGGCCACCAGGTGCACTGGCTCTGAGGTCTCCCAGGAGGTATAGGTCAAGGTCAGTTACTGCTTGTGCTCTGCCAGAGACCACTCAACATGAGCTAATGGCTATTACTTGTGCTAGGCTTGGAGGTGCCCAGGAAATGCCAAGCTGTGAACTGAGTCTGGCTTCCCCTAGTGCTGGGCCTGGTGCAACTTATAAGTCAAGAGGTCTGTGGCACACTGAGGCCAGATGCTGCTTGTTTGGGGTTTATGAACCTTTGAGAGATTTTAGGAAAGTTCACAGCATGAGCCAAGGCAGGCCATTTGTGTGGGAAAGCCACTGGAGATGGATTGAGTGAAGCAGGGTTTTAAGGAATCACCAGGGTAGGGCGAACAGTGTTAGTCAGCTTGATGTAGATTCAGATGTAATGCTACCTGCACCTGCAGGGGGAGGGCTTAGCAAACTAACAGTGGCTTCTGCCAGCACTTCTGCCTTTGGGAAAGCTGCCCCTCCAAGCCACTGGCCCAAAGCCAGGCAATTCCTTCCTTCCCATGTGTCCCTGGTGCCTTTGGAGCTGCTGTTCCAGCCCTGGAGCTAAGAGTGAGTGAGTTTGAGTGAGTTTGCACAAGCCCCTTAAGAGCAGCACTTGCCACTCTGGCAGCCCTTCGTCTCACTCAACCATAATTCCACACTGATTTTTGCAGTCAGAAGTTCTGGAGACTTTTTTTTTTTTTTGTATTTGTACTTGTCAAATTATTTTTTTAAATCACTTTTAATTTTTCAATTACAGTTGACATACATTATTATATTAGTTTCAGGTGTACACCCCAGTGATCAGACATTAGATAACTTACTAAGTGATCATCTCAGTATATCTCACATTCTTCTGACACCATACAGTTATTAAAATTTTATTGACTATATTTCCTATGCTGTACTTTACATCCTCATGACTATTCTGTAACTACCAATTTGTATTTTCCCTTCACCTTTTTCACCCATTCTCCCAATCTCCCTCCCATCTTGCAGCCATCAAAATGTTCTCTGTATCTCTGACTGTTTCTGTTCTGCTTGTTTGTTTACTTTGTTTATTATTTATTTTTGTTTTTATTTTATTAAAAATTTTAATTTAATTAAATTTTTCCATCACCATTTATCCCTCTATGCTCTGTTCCACCTTCCCTCTCTTCTGCAATTACCATGCCCATGAGTTCTCCCTTTTATTCTTTTTTGCTCAATCACCCCACCCTGTTTACTTTGGTTTTTTTGGATTCATTTGTTGATAGATATGTATTTATTGCCATTTTATTGTTCATATTTTTTATTTTTCTTCTTAAAGAAGACCCTTTAACATTTCACATAATACTGGTTTGGTGGTGATGAACTCTTTTAGCTTTTTCTTGTCTGGAAAGCTCTTTATTTTTTATTTTATTTTATTTTTTTGGTACATGCCCCTAGTGGGAACCGAACCCGGGATTCTCTGATCCACAGGCTGACGCTCCAATTGCTGAGCCAAACTGGCCAGGGCTGGAAAGCTCTTTATATGTCCTTTGATTCTAAATGAAAGCTTTGCAGGACAGAGTAATCTTGGTCGTAGGTCCTTGCTTTTCATCACTTTGAATATTTCTTGCCAATCACTTCTGGCCTGCAACGTTTCTGTTGAGAAATCAACTGACAGTCTTATGGGAACTCCCTTGCAGATAACTAACTGCTTTTGTCTTGCTGCTTTTAAGATTCTCTCTTTGTCTTTAACCTTTTATATTTTAATTATTATGTGTCTTGGTGTGGACCTCTTTGGTTTCATCTTGTTTGGGACTCTGTGCTTCCTGGATTTGTATGTCTTTTTTATTCACCAGGTTAGGGAAGTTTTCTGTCATAATTTTTTCAAATAGGTTTTCAGTTCCTTGCGCTCTCTCTTTTTCTTCTGGCACGCCCATAGTGTGAATGTTGGTACACTTGAAATTGTCCCAGAGTCTCCTTACACAATCTTCGTCTTTTTGGATTTTGTTTTCTTTTTGCTGTTCTGATGTGGTGTTTTTTGCTTCCTTGTATGCCAAATCTCTGTTTTGATTCTCAGGTTCATCTAGTCTACTGTTGATTCCCTGTAAATTATTCTTCATTTCAGTTAGTGTATCCTTCAATTCTGACTGGTTGTTTTTTATGGTTTGTTGTTTTTTATGGTTTTCATGTCCTTTTTTGTGCTGTTGAAGTTCTAAGTTTAACCATTCTTCCCCTAAGTTTCTAGAGCATCCCTATAAACATTGTTTTGAACTCTACATGTAGTAGATTGCTTTGTCCATTTTGTTTAGTTCTTTTCATGGAGTTTTGTTCTTTTCTTTCATTTGGGACATGTTTCTTTGTCTCCTCATTTTGGCAGCCTCCCTGTGTTTTTTTCTATGTATTAGGTAGAGCTGCTACGTCTCCCAGGCTTGGTAGGGTGCCCAGTGTGGTAGGTGTTTGGTAGAGTGCAGTGACACAGCCTTCCCAATCACCCAAGTTGGGCACTCCAGGTGCACCCCACTGTGTGGGCTGTGAACACCCTCCTATTGTAGTTAGCCTTGATTGCTGTTGGCATGGCCATGGGAGGGATTTACCCCCAGGCCAATTGGCTACAAGGAGTGGCTGTGACCACATGGAGGATCAGCAGGGGTTACTCCATGGAGCAGGACTTACTTCAGTGGTGCTATGGTGTCTGCTGAGTCCACCCCTTGAGTGTGTTGCTTGTGGAGGTGGTTGAGTGGTGCTTCAATGTGGTGTGAAGCTGTCCACTGAATGCGCTGGCTCTGGGGCCTCCCAGGAGATGAAGGCCAAGTTCAGCTGCTGCCAATATTCTGCCCGGGGCCATCCAGCATGAGCTCCAAAGCCATGTGCAGATGCTGCTTGTGCTGGGCGTGGAGGTACTCAAAAGAGGCCAAGCTGTGAACCAAGTCTGGCTGCTGCTAGTTCTAGGACTGGGACCACTTAATGAAAGGTACAGGGCATGCTGAAGCCAGATGCTGCTTGTTTGGGAGATTATAGGAAAGTCTTAAGCCTGAGCCAAGTCAGGTCATCTGTATGGAAAAGCCACTGGACATAACTTGGCTGGGCTTGAAAGTTGGGTGGAGCAAGGTCTCACAGAATCAGTAGGGTGGGGTAAACAGTGTGAGCCAGGTTGATGGAGTCTCAGATGTGGTGCCCGCCTGCTGGCTCTGTGGGGAGGCTCAGCAAAGGAACAGCGGCCTCTGCCAGCACTTCCTTCTGGGAGCAAGCTGCCCCCGCCCAGCTCTTGCCCTGATGCCAATCAGTTCAGTTCTTCTCCGTATGTCTCTGGGGCCTTTTGAGCTGCTGCCCCAGTGCTCCAGCTCAGAGGGAGTGAGTCTGAGTAAATCTGTGTGCCGGCCCTTTAAGAGGAGCCCCTTCGCCTCCCTCCGCCTCAATTCCCGCTGGTTTTCACAGCCTGAAATTTTTGGGACTTCTCTTCCTGGCACAGGAATCCTGGGCTGGGGGGCCTGGTGTGGAGCTGGGACCCCTCGCTCCTGAGGGGGCACCTCCAGAGCTGAGGTGTCCCCAGTTCGTATCCGCCAGCTCATCGCACGTCCGCACCCCTCCTGCCGGTCTCTGGGTGAGCTCTGCAGTCCGACCTTGTCGGCTTCCGTGCAGCTGGGTCCCGGCGGTGCTGAATGACGGTGGCTGGGGTGCAGGGCGCTGGCTGTGGGAAGTGGCCAGTGTGGCGGTCACCTGCTCTGCCACCCTGACCGGAAGCCTGAGAAGCTTTCTGATCATAAACTCTTCCTGTGTCAGGCCGAATTTAAGAAAACATTAACCTCAGTTCTGTTGTGTCGAGCAGCAGCAGCTGTACCCCAACCGCACATGCTGTGCCCCTCCCGGTCAGCAGGCTGCGTCGCCCTCCTCCCGGCCTTCAGAGGCTGGGCGCGAGCGGCCGGCGCCCAGGACACTGAGGGTGTGTCTCTTCCTAGCTCCCGGCGCAGAGGTCACCTACGGCATGGTCGCCGCGGACGTGCTCCTGGCCTTGCTGGCAGCCGGCGGGGCGCCGTGTGACCTGACGGTGCGGAGCCTCTTCGCCGGGGACCCGAACGGCTACCCGCTGCAGCAGGGCTTCTCGCTGCTGGGCTTCTCCCCCGCTGTGCGCACGCGCGCCGCGCCAGGGGGCGCGCAGGCGCAGCCGCCCGAGTGACTGGTCGGAACAGTGAGTGACGGCTGTGCCTGGGCTGTGTCAGCGCGGGGCGGGCGCGGGCCTGCAGCCTGTGCGGACATGCGCAGTGATTAAATACCAATGTGAGGAGGAGCTTCACGTACCTACAACTGTATTTTATAAAGAGCTAAATAAATATATTTTATAAAGAGCTAAATATATAAAACTTTTTTTGTAAGAAAATTCTGGTAGGGTTTTTGTTTTCGTCTTTTTCTTTGTTGCTTCTAGGGCAGAGGTTTTCAACCTTTTTCATCTCAGGCACACATAAACTACTAAAATTCTGCAACACAGCAAAAAATATATTTTTTGCTGATCTAACAAAAAATAGGTATAATTTTGATTCGTTTTCACTGCATGGCTATTGTGTTGGCTGTTGTCCCTTTATTTATTTATTTAATTTTTTTTTTTTCTCCTCACCCGAGGACATTTTTGCATTGATCTTCAGATAGAGCAGAGGGAGAGAGGGGGGAAGAGAGAGAGAAACGTCAATGTGAGAAAGACATGGAGTGGCTGCCACCCACACGACCCCAACCGGGGCAGGGACAAACCGCAACCAAGGTACGTGCCCTTAGCGGGAACCGAACCCAGGTCTCTCCGGTCCGCAGGCCAGTGCTCTAACCACTGGGCAATACGGGCTAGGGCTGTTGTCCCTTTTCTATTTGACAATCTAAGGGGAAAGAGGTTAGTGCCCCTGACTAAAGGTTGGGTACTGCATATTTTAAAATCCTTGCAGTACACCGGGTGAAAGTCGCTGTTCTAGAGAAATGGCCTAGCAATACAGGCAGCACTTCCCAGAGACTGAAGTTCACTTCCCGTGGTCCTCGCTCTCTTCCAGGCACCGCGCTGAGTCCTGACGGGGGACAGGTGTAGGGCATTTCCTCAGCAATTGTCCTGCTTGACTCACAAACTGTTTTTCCTTATTCCTACTTTAATAAACTGTCAACATGAATTGATTTGCTTAATTATAATTATACATAATAATGGATTAGTTCAAATAAGCCTATGTTTAGACAAGTTCAAGATGAGCATGTCTTTGTATAAAGAAGCATTGAAAATGAGGAAAGCAAGATCGTGTTTCATTTTATAAAGGGAAGAAGAGAGTCATATTGTTAGTTCATTTCTAGGAATCTGGCACCTTACTGAATTTACTTACCTGCAAACACTGAGCAGTTTGTCTCATCATTATGACTGTGGGAAAGCTCATAGATGGGAATCACCAGTAGGGCACCATGGAGCGGCACCGAGCCTGCAGATCTGGATCTGGGGGAGTGAACAGGTTAATAGCATGGCTTGAAAACAACTGCATCGTAATGAAATGAACAAGTTTATTATGTCTGTGTTTTGTTAGATTCTTTCAGTTCATTGAAATTGTTTTCTCTATTCAGGTTTTTTAACATATGCAAAAATATGTGTAGGAGAGTGCAGACACACAAAAGTCCTTTTTCATTTGTTTGTTAATCCTCACCCGAGGATATTTTCCCACTGATTTTGAGAGAGAGTGAAAGGAAAGGGGTGTGGGGGGGAGAGAAACATCAGTGTGAGAGACACATCAATTGGTTGCCCCTGACCAGGGCCAGGATCAAACCTGCAACCCAGGCTCATGCCCTTGACTGAAATTAAACCCTCAACCCTTCGGTCTCTGGCTGATGCTCTAACCACTGGCTGAACCAAACTGGCCAAGGTCAAAAGTCCATTTTCCAGTAGAGAAAGATCCATGCCTTTCAGTAAACCCTCAAAGGCATCTTTGACCAAAAGAAAAAAATGGTAGAAACTGTGAGTTAATTTGTGGAAAAAATAAGGAGGTAAGAGCAAAGGATTTCTATAGTTTTATCTAGTACCTAATAAGATGGGTAGAGACAGAGCTGTCCTGTTTTGTATCTAGAAATACTAGAATTCAAACAAAATAGTTGCCCTCCCTGGATAATTCATCCGACAGATGATGAAACTCGAGCGCAGAGCTGCTGTCCTCTAACCCAGGCACTTCCAACCCTGACCACGGTAGGAGCAGGGCCTGATGTAGCACCTGTCCGGTCAGGGTAAGCCCACCCAGAGAGCTCTTCTCTGAAGTCTGCCCTTCTCCTCTTTGTCCTCGAATGTGGCCTAGTCCCACTATCAACCAAAACAGAGTCCCCTGGAGTGGGCGGCTGTGCACATCCTGGTGGGAAGAAGCCAGTGAGACAGAACAGCAGGTCGCAGCAGTGTCTCTTCACAGCGTTTGGTGCGTATTTCATGGGCTGGCACATCTCCAGGAACCCATAGTTAGGCTGAAAACGATATCTTCCCGTCCTGGGGAGTCAGACCTGTCTCCAGAAATCATCTTCTGTTTAATTGGGATTAGTGGAGCCTCAGCTCTTAGCTGTATTCTTTACCTGAGATGTACAAGTGAGTATATTTCAGCTACTCTACGCATTTTCATGAAACTCCGCTCGGTAGCCTGAGCGTGTCAGTGAATTGACTGGCTCTGCATCTGGCGAGTCCGTGGCAGGTGTTTCAGGTGACCCTCATTCCTTGCCTCTGACAGCTCGGCCGAGAGGAACAGCTCTCCCGTCTCCGAGGTGCTTCTCTCCCCGCTAGTGAGGTCTGGGCTACATTTCTTTTACAGCTTGGATTTGCTTGTGGGGAGGTTCTGATCTTCAAGTGGGCTGGCAAAATTGGACATAAGGTGTTTTGCAGACATTTGCTGAGAGTATGCCATGTGTTAGGCACTGGTAATACAAAGACAGATGAGAGGGCCTGCCTTTGGTGAATTCATAGACACGCTGGTGGAGAAATACTAAACAAAATAATAGAATAATACTGCTGGGATTATATCTGTGCGGAAAAGGCAAAAGATTTAATAGAATAGGTTTATTGTAACTCTTGGTTGCAAGTGATAAAAACCCAACTCACACTAGCTTGAGCAAAAAAATGGAAGATATTGTTTCATGTAACTGAGTTGAATCCTTTGGCTGAAATTGCCATCTAGGTACCCAACCCCCAATTCTTTTCCTTCCCTCTGTTTCTCCCATTTCTTTCCTTGCCCTGTCCTCCCCTCCTGTGCTTCTTTCCCCCTCTCCTGCCCCTTTGCTCTATCTTTCCTCATTTCTCGGCCTTTCTCGTCTGTGCTCATGGATAAAAGATAACTGTAGGAAGCCCCACACTTTCCTCGTCATGGAAAGAGACTGTTCATGTCACATAGCAAATTTTGTGGAAGGACTGATGGAATCTGCTTTGTTCACCTGCTCTCTCCCGGTGACCAGGGTGGCAGGGCACTGGGACTGAAAGGGCCGAAACACACACGAAGCGAGGCCCCTTCATTAATGAAAGGGGAGCCCGAGGCAGGCACACACATGCCGTGGCGGTGGAGGGTGCAGGAGGCTCACCGGGGAAATATTTAACCTGCATTTAAAACACTGTCACCACAAAAATAGAGGGATGGGTATACACTAGCATAGCATATGTGGAAAATGGAAGACCTCACCTAGGGCTAAAACAATGAATGACCCTCCCCACAGGACGAACAGGAGAGACAGACACCGCAACACAGACGAAACATTTCTGAGCAAAGCTGAGCTCACAAAGCAGGGGAGGTTGTGTCTGCAGGTCCAGCTCGGTGTGTGAACAACGCTTTGTGCACAGCACCGCATCACTCTATGGTACCAGTTCGTCAGCCGTAAAGCAGAATCCTGCAGTGCTGGGAAGTTCCCTCTGGGCCACAGGCGAGTTCTCGGATTCCAGTTACTTCCGTTACCATTGTAATTCAGGCTTTGAGACAGGGTTGTAGAGTCTAGAAATGGAATCTGAAGTCATCAATGATACATTGATTGTAACACTTCATGTTCTAAAATCACACTCATGGGGTTTGAAGCAGATCAGAAGAGGGCTTTGATTCCGTATGCTGTTCTGAGAGTAGACAGACAGTTCTACAAAGTTCTGGTAGGATCATCCCTTCACAGTGGTCAGAAATTATCATCATCTCCAGAACTCTCCTAAACTGTGACCCAAGGCCCCAAGTTAAAGACTAATCTTACATTACCGTAGGCTCAGTACAACCTGGATAGTTGACCAAGGGCTACAACATGGCTTTCTTAGAAGAAAATACCTGATTTCTCAGAACATTCTAGAATGAAACAAAAACTAACCATCCCTATGCTTTCATTCCAGATGCTAAATTTGTATGCTGGAGGGTTTCTAGATGGTGCGGTACAGGTCGTGCATCAGAACGATGCAACAAAGTGTTCATTTTTCCTAGTTTAACACTGGCCCTTGTTTTGATGTCAGTGGTGGTGGAGTGAGGTTTACGTCAATTGTCACCTGTATTTGGAGGTCTTGAACTGGGTTTGCTATGAAGTTCATCCCACCCTCTGCTTCCAACTGGAGGGAGGGCACGCATCGGCACTGGGACAGCTGCTCCCACTGCTCCCCAATTCCCTGACGCCCAGCTCCTCCAGGGAGTTGGGGCAGGGAAGAAACAAGGAGGGGCAAGAGTCTCCTTAGAGACCGGCTCTGCTCCAGTCCTCATCTGATGCGCTCTGCTCTTCTGGCCCGTCCTGACTGCTGTGCCTTCGGTGCGGCAGGCCGCCGCCGCCTCTCCTGGGGCGTGGAGGGGTCTTCGGAGGACGTGCATGCTGGCGAAGTACGTGCAGCTTCTTGTCGTGGGCGAGCAAGCCCCTCCCGGTCTCTTCAGTCTCTTAACTCCCTCCAAGTGTCACCTCCTCCCTCTATGCTGATGCCTCTTCGCCTCATGCTCAGATAAGCACAGCATTGCAGTCAGCAAATTCTCGGCACAGTCACACATTAGAGAAGCAAGGAATTGCCCCTGTTCGCATAATGTGTAGTACGAGTCAATTTACATAACACTGTGATCGTGCTGCCCGGAAAACTCTTACCCCAGTGGTGTAGTGGTTGCCCTGGGTGGGGAGTTAAGGCCTGGTTTTACTTTTTTCTTCATTATTATTATTATTTTCTTTTAAATATGTTTATTGATTTTTTTAGAGAGAGAC